AAAAAAAATCAGACTCACTTTTACTTCCATGTTCTGCGTTGTTTCTCCCCTCTCTCTTTCTCACTCGACGCCTCCATCGCTTGACTTTTCCCTCCATTATCCCGCAGTTTGTGCGGACATTCAATATCTTTTGCCAGGAATGCATTCAGTGCAGTTTCTCATGGAAGATTCATGCAATCATGTGCAACTCCATTTTCCTCTACTGAAACTCAGAGTTCTACACATCCTTAAAACAGCTGTTACACGCTATGATACATAGCAGCCGTTAAAGGTAACACAACATGTAGAGTTTAAGACCCTTGACGACAGAGTTACAAACTTCAAGGCATGCAAATAAGATCAGCAGGTTATCTCTGTAGTCAAAGACTATATGAAAAAATGATGTGATCAAGGACTGTATACTCTGTTCAGTCAAAGATCCATTCATAAAACTTGCTATGTGGAAAATATTGTAAAAACAAACAAAAAGTAGGATATCTTCTCAGCAAAAAATGATGTCAGAAGACTGTAAAGTAACAAAAACCGAATTGTATCCAATTCAAAAAGGTCTTTCCCATTACCGTCAATACAAACAGTGTAAAATTGAAGATGGCGCAGAACAAATGTCTCGCTCATCCGATGATGTATAAATTAAATCATTATTTTAATAACTAGTGTTGCAGCTGTGTAGCTTACGGCCACCAATAGCAGCACCAATGCTCCACTGCAGAGCAGCACCACAGACGTTAACCAGGGATACATTTCTATCATTTTGTACAGAGAAGACCTCTCTCTGTCAGAGTATAGTGTGTTTTGTTACTTTACAGCCCCCTGAAATCGTTTTTTTTCCCAGACTGCGTAGAAGATATCCTGCTCTCCGATGAGTTTGTATTTTATGAGCTGGATCAATGCTTATTAAACCTCCAAATGCTAGCTTACCCCGACTAAACCCAGAGTAGGATCACCCATCCACCCCCCCCCCCACCCCCCTCCGGCCAAGCCCGCACATTGGTTTTGCTGATCACAGTCCTGATCCACAGGGCCCACAGCTCTGTTTGTTTCTCTACTCCAGCAGCTAGTTAATTGGATTCACCTGGCGTTCCTGCTCAGTCATTTATTATGAACCTAGAACCAAGACAAACAGGGCCCCGAGTGCTGAGCACAACCACCATGAACCACGGCTCTTATTAAAATTAACGAGGCAACCGTCGGCTGAGCAAACAGGAATGGCATTTAGAATACCTTAATTGCGGTGAAATAGTAACAAAGGCAGCTGAGATAGTATGAGGCCACCGAAATCCTCAAATTTGCCGTACAGGTGCAGATATTCATTAACCAGCTGTGTGAGTCTAGCCTCCAGGCTGTGCATTTAAATAAGAGGAAATGGAAAACCTTATTTATAAAAGGTCACACAACTGCCCATGATATTTTTTTGTCAGCAGCACATTGCTAGAATACCACTGTTCGAAGTATTTAAAGATCCACCCCACAACATTAGGAAAACTAAGGTTCTTCATCTGATCCATTGTTAATATCAAAATATTGATCATAGCTTCTTTTAGTAAGGTGGTTATATTTCAATGCGTGTAAGCATCCTTACTGGGTTAGAAAATCCCTGCAATAACTCTGGAAAGCTCTCCCTGCACGTCTGACTTTCTCCCACGTTCAACATAATTAATGATGAGGGCTGTGTCAAAACTTAATGCAAACATATTCACAAGAGCCTCCACTGCCTTTACTACTATATACTGACTGTTGCTGTTGATAGTATGGTCTAATATTGCATGCAGAGCTACAATAGAGTGATCTCTTTATTCTTGAGAGCCCTTGACAAAGTTATAAATCTGTAGCTGAGGCTGTCAGCAGTGAAAGACGCCAGACCCCGTCTAACCTTTTGGTGTTTTAGTGCCTGTGTGTGTGTCTGTCTTTCTGTCTGTGTGTCTGTGTGTGGGAGGGGACAGTCTGTTTGACAGATAGAAAGCAGCTTGTACAATCACAGCTGGAGACTGAGAAATAGAGACTTCCTTCCCATGTCATCTATCTTCTGTCTCACTTTTACCTTTCTCTTTTAAACCCCTTTTTTTCTTCTTCCCTGGCTTCTTCCTCGCCTCTTTCTGTCCCTCAATGAGTATAAGAAGAGGCTGAGCGATAAAGGAAGACTCCAGCTGCCTACTAAGAGCCTGCATTAGCAAGAGCATGTGTAGGAATTAGATGGTAATAGCGAGCGTTTCCCTCCGGCAGCCCAGACTCGAGTAGTCATCAAGGGGAATTTCGGCGGTTGGCCGTTTTTTCCTCCATCCCCTCTGACTGCCCCACTCAGCTTAAATATTCTATGCTGCTGTCTTCCGTAATTGGCTTTGACTGCGGTAAACAAGTTTCGAGGCTAAAACAGTGTTTGAATATGCAAAGTCTTCGCTCAACAAACTGCTTTCTGTGTGTGTTTGTGAGAGTGTGTGTGCATCTTTGCACTCGTATTCCTACATAAGCTTTCGTAATAGATTCAATGCTCGTCTCTCAGAATGAATATTGTTCACTGTGGATCAGTGTCACTGTCATCCCATCCGTCATCTAACTTAATTCACCCAGTCATCTGTCCTATAAATCAATCTGCAGGTTAACCAACGTTGAGCAATGATTGATCTCATCGCAGGCATTTTTTTCATCTGACTCGTCCGCAACCCTTTCTAGCTCAGTCATTTTTTAAGGAGGCACTCCAGGTATTATGTAGTTCCTGATAATAATTTGACATCCAATCTTCATAGCTTGTTTGGGGCCGTTTTATTTCTTTAACTGACAGTGATTGGCTTAAGGGGATGCTAACATTACAGATGACATGTTATATTAAAAAAAATCAGTTTTAAGTGAAATATAGTATTTTTTTTCGGGGATAGCGTTGTGGATGACTGCTCAAATGTATCTTAGAATTGGATTTCTTTTCCACCTGCGTTGTATCGTATTCTGCTGCCGCTGACAGTCTGTTTAAGTCTTGTCTTCTTTTTCATTTTCTCTATAATTGCTTGAAAGCCGAACATGTCATTATTTTTTCCTCTCTGTTAGTTTGACGGCTGAATCGTCTTCCGCTCGCCCATTGTGCCCCGTTTGCCTGACGACACTCGCTGTTCCAAAGCTGAAGCAGCCATCTTGTTTTACATCCTTTACTCAGCAGGCCGAGTGTCGCTTCAGGTGTCTGCAAGTCGCTTCTATGATGAAAAAAAAAAAAGTGAATAATGTGTCTGTTTTTAAAGCAGCACTTTATGTGATCTGACAAGTCCGACTAATATACTTCTATCGCAAACACACACAATCTTCTGCCTTGCTATTCATTATGTGATGGCACCAAACAACCTGTCAACTTGGATAATTACCTCTCATTAACCGGCTCAGACAGGCCATCATTCACGTTCCTCTCGTGGTACGTGTATGTGTGTGTGTGCAGGCATCAGTGTGTGTGTGTCACCAGAAGGTTCGACAGATGGCGTGTTTTGGCATGGATCCCTCAAGGCGGGTTAAGGTTCAATTCAATCAGGTGTTTTGCTGGCCATCATTTGGGCGTCGTGACTCCAGTCACTTTGAAGCACCTTGTGTTCGCCCATTAGTGGTGTGACAAAGCTTGGATTCTGTCAGCAACCTAATTGTTCAACCTTGGCAGCCATGAAACTGTTTGCAAAAAAACGCTCGACTTCCAGCAGTTGCTGTGGATCTGAGGAAGTAGAGGTGACACTAGCAGACAACAAAGCAAGCCATGCACATTTCCTTTGCTCCACGTGTCAAGTATATGTTTAATTGTTTCTGCTATTCAATAGCAAAAAACTTTGACAGCAAAAAGCCAGGTGTAAATGCTTCGGATAAACATCAAAGAGTTTGAAATCCCGTTGCCCAAAACCACCCCGGACAGAGGTTAGAGACGCATTCCAGCCAGATGTTGAAAAGGTTTGAACACATCCATCTCTCCAAGACTGGATGTAACTGTGGCAGTATTTTATCTCTGTCAATATGTTAAGCTTTTCATATAGAAGATGGCCTCTCAATTTAGCCAGTCACATGATCGAAGGCATTGGCTCATAAGAGCAGCAATTCATTGTTGTGATCCCTCACTGGCTTCCAAACATAGGACGACGGGGCGAACAGATGCACCTCCTCCAAGGTTCTTAGCAGTTTACTTTTTCTTTTTTTTAACCTTCTTTCGGCGCTCTAATTGTATTTTCATATCCACTGAACAATCGCAATTATCGGACTGTCCACTTCGGAGCAACGCGGTGGTTCTTCCCCACTTCCAGTTGTTGCTAGCTTGGATTTCATAATGACCCTCAAATACCCCAAAAAGATGCTGATGCTTTATTTTAGCTGTAGTGTGTTTAAGGCACCTTATCTGCACAACAAAAAAAAGTATTTTGAACTGGTTGAATGATGTAGGGAGCTCAGCGTGTGACTGTTTACTAGAGCCTTGAAACAATTAGGATGCTTGATAGCGCTGGATGGAGGAGATCGGAGTCCCAGAGCTCATTATTGTTGGAGTGAAGCGTCTCAGCGCTACTGATCGACATTCTCAGCGCTGCTCATACCACGCTGGGGCAACTAATCAGCAGCTCTGCATTTTAAATTCAGATTCTTGTTTTGATGACTTGTCCTCTAAGGCATTATATTGATACTACTGCATGTCTGGATTATATTTACTTATTCATTAGTGCTTTCCTCTTCTTTTTTTCTCTGTGTATTTTCATCCTTTTTAGATTAGCTGATGATAGTAGTTTTTATTGTTTTAGTTAACTTACTTAAAATCAAGAGTTTCTCAAATATATCTAGAAAATGAAGTAAAGTAAAACAAAATATTGGATTCATTTTTTAGCACTACTCATTGTTGTGCAATAATCTTTCAGAATAAGCTTCTGCTAAACCATTCAGTGTTTTACTTAATGGTCCAAAAATTGTTCTTTTAGGCTATATGTTAAATATTTGAATAACTCTCAGTCACTAAATATTGACTTCATCTCACTCTCTCTCCGTCCTCTCCCTGGTTCCAGGCTTCAGAGGAGGTCTCTCTGCTGTTGGCCAGCCCCAGGATGCTGCTCCCTCCATCAAGCACGCTGCCACCAGGTGCCCCCCTGTCTGTCCACCACCAGATCCAGCTGCTCCAACAGCAGCTCCAGCAGCAACAACAGCAGACACAAGTGGCCGTAGCACAGGTACATCTCCCACAACTTACTGTTTTTGCCTACTACTTATACTCTAAAAGTTTTTATGGAGTCACTTCGTCACTCTCACCAAAACTTGTTCTTTTCTATTTTAGTATTGCATAGCAGCATCCAAATGATAATACAAGATGAGGACATGCAGTATATCTAATATATAAAGATAAACAAATGCATCTCATGATGTGCACTTTAGTGAGCCGGAGGTGTAATTTCATTATGAAGCTTGGAGGATGTAAATGAAGACTTAACAAATAGTTGAGGCAACAGAGAAATGGTACATATAAGTAACACGCTCGCTCTTATACTTGATTGTTGCATTGTATTGAATATAGCAACAACCCACTTAAATACAGGCATTGTAGGATCTGCCTTCTTCTGGGTGAGTTGTAGTTTGTTTTTTTTCAATACAGAACATTTCATTTCAAAGAAGAAACAAATGCCATGTGCATACAAACCCGTGCTCTTAAGGGGTTGGTCAGAAACAGAAGGCCTTTAATAAGTAAGGAAAATACACCAATATGTATTGGCCCATTTGCCTTTCTCAGGGTGTCAACTAACTCTAATTTATTAGCAGTCTAATTCCACAAACCTATGTTAACGTGAACACAGTACATGCTGGCACACATTTACAGAAACTGTGCCTGACAATTTTAAGGTTAGGGTTTATATTTAGCTCAATCTAATCATCTTTTGTCTATACCCACTTATACAGCATACAGGGTTCATTTTAATAAAATGTATTCTAATACAATTACTTAGTAGCTTGTAAAAATAGTCAGTAACCTAATCCAATGTAATTGATTAACTTCTGTTACCTTTGGATTACGTCAATACAAAATATGCAAATAAAAACAACAGAATAGCAAAAGGCTAAATGTTCGCCATTATTTTTTACGTAAAAAAGAAAAGGGCGAAACATCACAGTACAGTTTAGTCATCATCCAAGGACTCAGATCTTTTGGCGCTTTAGTGTGTCCGGATTTTAACTTGGAGTATCCAGTAACCATAATATTTAAATTAAGTTCTATGCAAATTTAGTTACAAACCGTCGTTTCACGCTGGGAAGCAACTTGGCAAAAAAAATGAAATGAAATCTTGTATTAAATATGGAAACCAGCCTTTGCTGACCACACTGCCTGAGGAAGAGAAACGTGTGATCAGTTGGAAACACTCCAGGAGCATTGACAGAGTGGAGGAGATCAACACCTGTCCAATCTGGGTTTTAAAAGAGAACTTCGAATCGAGTGCACACAGCGTCAGACATCAATCACACAGCTTGAGTGGCTGCAGTGGGAGAAGTAACTAGTGACATCGATGGCTTCAGGCTTATGAGCTGGATCAAAACAGACACACACACACACACACACACATATACGGTACATGCAGTTTGTCAGCCTGCTTGCAAAAGGCCTCGAGACTTGAAACTGCAATTTCACAACTCGACACACCGTCTTCCTCACGCATGCACACTCACACAAACACACTCCTGAGTCCTGGCCCAGAAGTGTCTCAGACGGTTAAATGCTGATGTCTCGTATAGCTCCCAGAGACGGATACAGGGGGTCCTCGTGATTCAACTGCCTTTTCACACCGAGCATAGCTGGTCACTTGTCATACCCTGAACAACGGACAGACTGCTGCTATGACTGACGCATTGGGATTGTGTGTGCCCAGACACGAATGCCATTAATGATACCTCGATGGAGCCAGAGGTCACTTCCCGCTCGCACAGACTCTGGCGTAGACGCTTTTTTTTTTTTTTTTTAAATGATTAAAAAAAATTTGGCAGGTGAAAGGCAATATTTTACCTAATGTGGAATATTTCAAATGAGTATGAGCCACCCAATACGTGACCATGACTCTTTTGCCATTCAGCAAGGTGTCCCAGGTGGTCCTGATTTGACTGAGCCGCTGTAACTGTAACCACTCAGCATCTGTGGTTCCCAACCTGGGGGTCATAAGATGAATGTAAAAGGTCGAAAGATAAATAATGTTATAGGAATCTTTGCTTTTTTCGTGTGAAATGCTCGATAGTTCTACCTCTTCTGTCCACTAACATGTATTCAAATGAAAAGAATCTGAGAAGTTAAGAGTCCAGATTTGAACCAGCAGTTCTTAAAGACCAGCTGTTTATTAGCAGCAAGAAGGAAACTGTTACTAAACCAAACCAAACTTCCTTCTAACCAGAGGGAGGAGGGTTTACTCCACCACTGAAGGTCAAACAGAAGACAGTAAAGAGATGAGTTCTGCCCAAATAATAATTATAATAGTAATTATACATTTTATTTGTAAAAACCTTTTCTGGATTCAGAGTGCCAAATGCACATTGTGGGTGAAGACATCGAGGAAGAGAGGGATTACTTGGCTGTCACGCTGGTAAAATGCGTGTGCGCACATTTGTAGTTGTGTGTGTTTTGTGTTATGATGAAGACTTTGTTTTCCGCTCAAAACAAAAAAGCTTTCCCTGGTGTCGTTGCCTCAGTTTCACACCAGACTATAAAATGCCGTTGTTCTGTTTTCACATTTCTCTGTTCAAGTAAATATTTCACAGGATAGAAAAAGTGTCCAACTTAGTTTCAGAACGCCTGGCCCCCCCCACTGATTCTACAGAGTTGTCAGGTTTGAGTGCAGCTCCGCCACAATAATGTTGTTGTACAATGTTAACGCGACGACACACACCAACGATGAACAAAGACTTGCAGCCGAGAAAGCATTAGTCTCATTGAGTGGCCTTCACCCTGTTTATGATACGAGTTATGGTCAGCCTTTTTTCAGCAACAGTCATTTCATTGATTTACATTCTGAAATGTCTCTTATATCGTGTTGTTTTTATTTTCAGTGGCAAAATTTGCATATTTCACTGTTTACGGATGTGTTATAGACTAAACGAATAATAGATTAATCATGAGTAAAATCAGCAGATTAATCGATGATGATAACAATCTTTAATTGACGCCTTATTTTCCTTCAGCTTTCTTTGAAAGCAGCTGACTTTCAAAGCAATGTTGCAGTACGGCAGCGTTTTTTTGTCGTCCCAGCTTAATGTGGAAGAAATGACTTCAAAGAGGGGATTATTTTCACCGTTGCCCTCTGTGCTGATGAAAGTGTGACTCTGTGTGCCCGACCAGGAAACTTACTGGGAAAATGTTCTTGATTTTGAACTCTGCTGCAGACTCTGAGCAGAGGTCACAGTAGATGGAGGTAAATTAGCGAGCTGGCCGACGCTAATCACGGCTCACTCGGGGAAGAGTGGAAGTGGAGATGTTTAATGAAGTTAGGAAAATGAGGGAACACATGGACGATCTGTTTCGAGAGGAAGTTCGCTCTGCAGATGCTGCTCTGTCACTGCTTAATGAAATGTGCCCCCCTCTCTCCGTCCCATCCAGCTTTCTTACCGATCTTTCCTTCAGTCCTTCCTCGCTGCATTTCCTCCCTTTCGTTCCTGACTTCCTTCTCCTGCTTTTGTTTGTTCCACACCTCTGCTTCCTCCCGTCTCCTTTCCATCAGTTATTTTGAACCTGTTATTTTCCCCTGCCACCTCCACCTTCCTTCCCTCTCTTTTTATTCATTGGTCTCTCTCTCTCATTTCTCCTTCCACATCTTATTTCTTCGCTCAAAGACATCTACCTTCCGTCCTCCCACACTGTCGCTTTGGACTTTTCTGGTTCTCTCTCACTTCATCAATTGCACTCTCGCTGTCTTATGCACAGAAGTGCAAGTGCATTTCTAATGCTTTCCTTATCGTTGCACCACTAAAATGATCTTTCCGTTTTTTTTCCCCTACAAAAATGATAAATAAAGACCAACAAGCATTGGAGGGGTTTCAAACAGTTCCAAATCAAAGAGGCCCGGCGTGGGCAGGGAATGCGATGATGGTAATCCTGTGTGAAGAGTACATCCTCGCCAACCAATACCGTGGAGCCACGACGCACAACCGACGGTCCTAATCCCTTTATGCTACCAGTGGGAGAGACAATTCTTTTCAATCTCGTCTGAAAGGGAAACTATCATTTCATTTATCATCCGTTTGTTTTTATGACATCTGCATTTTTAGATTAGGAGTTAAATCTCGAGGTCTTATCGCTGTATGTAGTGCCACGTGCTCTTTGCCACAGTGGTTCTGCAGAGGATTGTCCAGTCTGTGTGGCACTTATTCGAAACCCTAAACAGCAAACACACAGTGAGAGCGAGAATCCACTGGATGTTGGTTGAATCACAGGGAGCCAACTGCAAGAACTGTACGAAATATATTTAGTATGCTACTGTATGTTGAAATCAGTTAAACAGAGACACGTTTTCCATTTTAGGAAGAGAGAATATCAAACAGTGGTGAGAGGAGGAGTCGGGAAGATGAAAATTGTCCTCGGGCGCTGTTCTGTTCTGTTTCGAACAAAGAAAGCACTAAAAAGAAGAGCGATGCTGCTTCCTAATTAGAGCTTGAATCAGTCACTTCAGTTGCTTGAAGCTCCATCAATTTCACGATGCTCGGATAAGATGGCAGAAAGCATTGGGCAAGACAATAATACATATAACAAAGACAAATGAATACAAACAAAAATACATAATACGGTATAAATAACACTGATTTAGTTTTAACCACAACCATGGTCGTTAAACATGAAAACAAAGCTCCTCTAACCTTAAAGTGGTCAGAGCATCAGATCAGACAACACGTCTATGTGTAATTCTGGCCAAACTATGTATGTTGTCATTTGATTTATGGATCAAACTGTTAAACTCAAGGTCAAGGGTCTCCCAAAGACGAGCCTAATGAAAATGCTTATTAAATATTGTATTCATTTATGAATGAAGTGATCAGGTGGAGCCATAAAAAGGCAATGAGATGGAGACACACATGGCCAGATGAACAGACGCGCTACCGGACCAAAGGAAACGGAGAGATAACATATTTAATAATTTACGGCTTATCATTTCTCATCTTATCAATTTTTCATTCCATTTTTATATTTTATCTGTTGGACCAGCCTCTTGTTTCCTCAGAAAAACTGGGTCTGTACATTTGCACCATGCAACCAAATGTAACCTCGTGTGGACGCAACGTCGTTCTGTTTTTGATCAGATATTCATACGACAAAGCCGAGGTCTGACTTTTTAAAAGAAAAGTTTTATCCTAGCTTTTTCTTTCCCCTTTCTTTTTGCTTGTCTTGCTTTGTTCACTACTGTTTATGCATGAGATTGTTCAGAGTCCTTTCACCAGCCATTGCAGCTCAGTGAGAGACATTCAGACATGGACAGCATCAGAACAAATGTGACACTTGCTCCCAAGGCCTCAGTGTGAACCGTGTGGGAGTGGCTGGTGCTCCATTAGAGGTGTCAGCAGGGCAGCATAATGTCAACGTCAAGCTGCACTCTTCCTTCGCTCAAGATGGGGTCCTGTCAGCTGTAAATCACACCGCCAAAGTCAGCATCAGGGCGTCGGCCTTTACAAATGAGTTCTGCAGAGGCAGCTTGGCCGCGGCACAATCTGAAATCACTGCTATTTGTTGGCAAGTACAAGGATAATGGAAGTAGATGAGCGTCTACTTGTTTTTCTGCCGGAGGAGTGGATGTGAGATGGAGGCCTTGGGACAGACGCTGTGGATTTTAGACACTAATAATCTAATGTAAATCAGAATCATGTGAGAATGAAATACATACATGCCACAACCAAAAAAGGTCAATTTGAAGACGTGATTTGTTGTCTATACACTGCCTGCACAATTATTAGGCAAGTCGTATTTTTGAGGATTCTTTTATTATTGAACAACTACAGAGCTCTCGGCCAATCTAACATGTTAATAAACCTCAAACCTCAATATTTAAGAAAGTAAAAGTGAGGTTTGGGCTTTCTTAGGAGAATATCTATGTGTGCACAATTATTATGCAACTAAATGAAAAACCAAAATTCTCCCATCTCACGTTTATTTTCATCTGTTGAAGTGAGAATAATAAACAAACAACTCAACATTTACAAATAAACATTTCTGACATTTCAAATAAAAAAATCAGTGACCAATATAGCCTTCTTTTCAAAGACAGTAATAAGCCTTCCATTCATGGATTCTGTCACTTTCTTGATCTGTTGACGATCAACCACAGCCTCCCAGACACTCCCAGACAATCTCCTGTTTAAGAAGGGCCCACAAGTTCTCAACAGGGTTTAGGTGAGGTGAGGAAGGGGGCCATGTCATTCTTTCATCTTTAAGGCCTTTACTGGCTATAGCCACGCGCTGGAGTACTTCCAAGCATGCGATGGAGCATTGTCCTGCATAAAAATCATGGTCTTCTTGAAAGATGCAGACTTTTTCCTGGACCACTGCTTGAAGAAAGTGTCTTCTAAAAACTGGCAGTAGGTTTGGGAGTTGATTTTGAGTCCATCTTCAACCCGAAAAGGTCCAACTAGCTCATCTTTAATAACACCAGCTAGTTGGACCTTTTCGGGTTGAAGATGAAGGGAAACAGTCCGCCTCTCTGAACAGTGTCTGGGAGGCTGTGGTTGATCGTCAACAGATCAAGAAAGTGACAGAATCCATGAATGGAAGGCTTCTTACTGTTATTGAAAATAAGGGTGGCTAACAATATTTTAAAAAATACAACTTGCCTAATAATTGTGTATATAAGTCTGTGTGTGTGTGTGTGTGTGTATGTTTATTAATGTTAGTACGAATATCATAGACATCATTATGCTACAAAATCAGGTACTGAACGCAGAATCACCCAACAGGCTCAGCAATACCATGGGAGATATTGATAGAAATATGTGCTAAACAAGACAACAGTGTGCTACATTACTAGATACAGTACGAACTGGAACAACAACACAGTCTATTAGTTAAAGACAAAGTAAAACATCTGGAGTCACAACCTCATCTCTGCATTTGTAATAGATTTTCAGACGGCTCATGAAACACTGAAGGACTTTCTGAGGCATTTTCCGCAGTGTTTCAAATCTCTATTACAGTTTGTCTTGTAGTTTTTTTCCCCTTCACGTGTGTCCCCGCTGACGTCAAGAGCCAAGCTATCCACGCTGCCCCGGTTACCACATCAAACTGAAATGAGAAACCAGGGAGTCATTACAAGTTTCAATGACTTTTACCTCCACACGGGACCCCGTGATTCACGGCGCTCTGCAAATACTATACTGCTCTTGTCAGCCCTTCACACCAGCTGCCTTCCTAGATATTTTATGGCCACCGCTGACGCACTCTGATTAGGCTATTTATATGTTCACAACAGAGTAGAAATGGTTTACTGACAAGAAGCCATTAGAGAAAGAAGAAAACTTCCCAATGTCAGCAGTAAGTAGCACTTCAAGATTCTGACTTTTCAACATGCACGTGGTGTCGGTGGATAAAAGCACGTTTTTGACATTCTCTCCTTCAGCGCCTCTTCGCCTGTTACACCACCGACATTTGAAGTCCTGCTGGACTACGTTCAAATTCCAGGCTTGAGCTTCATCAGAGTAGTGAGAGCCGCGCAGCCTCTCTTGTCAGAAAGTCATTAGCAAGTGGGCTCCTTCAACACACTGGGCTCCTTCTGAACCATTCTGTCCATTTGAAACCTTGAACATTTCTTCTCTCAAATTGTTGAAAGCAATTATGTGCTCAGGTTTAGAGGTGGCTGAGTCGGGTGAGGCGGGGGCCACTAACATTTGATTTGCAGAGTACCGGTACTTTGAAGTAAAAAGGGGACTCATCGCTGCTACAAAAGCGTGTGTGTGGACGTGTGTGCGCTATAATAAATGATTCAGAATGTTACGGCAGTCTTAGCCTTCAGTCTGAAATTGAAATAGAGTCTCTGATTTAATCTTGCAGACTGCAGCAGACTGTGGCACTAAGGTTACACAAGGATCAGAGCAGCCACCGGAGCAATGCTGCGCCTGTAATAAAAGATGTAATGGACGGATATAAAGCCACAGAAATAACAAAGATCTAAAACATATCAATCATGTCTTTTTCATTACCTCGGAGACAGTCAAGAGTGTGTGTGTGTTTGCTTTTATCTCAGTGTACATAGACAGAGATTAAATACTAGACAGCCACAACTAAAGATAACTTTAATTATCAGTTAGTTAGCTGATTATTTTCTTGATTAATTGACTGCTAATTCTTTCTATTAATTATCGGAAAATAATGAAAAATGCCCACCATGGGGACATAAGTCCAAAAGTCAACATCTAGAGATGTAAATTCTACAATGATGAGCAGAATACACTCAGCCCAAAGACACCAGTCAGGTACCAGTGAATGTTTGAAAAGTGACTCAAACGACAAAGTTAAATCTTGATTTTATTGATGCATGAAAGACGGGCGTGTAACAAAAAGACACTTCGTAAATACATTTTAAAAAGCGTACACTTGCACACACATTATTCACAAAAAAACATCTTCACAGTTAAAAATACAAGAGCTGTGAAACAAATGAATGGTTGTGATGAATATGCTTAACACTTGAGAATAACTATCGTGTTCCTAATGGCCTGCCGAATACTTGATAATTCATTAATTATCAAAATAGTCAGTCATAAATATTCAGCACTTTTCAAAGTGCACACATGGTCAAACCAGGAAGATCAGGCGTTTCTACGTCTAGATGTCCCTCGTCAGCTGGTCAGTATCGTTACTTTAAACTGCTTCGACTCGCTGCTTCACATGAAACGTGTCCAGCTATGGATCATCGAACTTCAGCCCCGTGCACAACCTGCAGCTCTGCTCATGAGGTTTTTCCTGAGCAGATTGTCACTGATTGATCCGTTCGCCTCTGACTGGAACAACACTTTTCGTTTTTTCTTCAAGTGTTGCTTTAATTTATTACCACGCAGTCAAAATACAGTGTGATTGATCAATAACTGCGTACTAATTTACTACGCTAAATCAATGTGGATGTTTCTCCCATATCTGAGATGCTTCTTCTTCTTAGCAGCAACATCAAGGCATCGTTTTTTTCATGTGTGCTAAAATTCAGCCTTTTTGGTCAGACAGTGTTGTTATCATCTCCGAAGTCATCACCTCTAATCTAGAAGCAGATTCTTTACTTCGTCTTTCTCCCGGCCTGAGAGGCTGTATGTGGCTGAATGACTCAGCACCTTATATTTAGAAAAGATTGAATTTGCTTTGGGGAAGAATCTGTTAAAATAATTTAACAACCTTTTAAAGCTGACTTAAAATGTACAATTATTATTATGCAACACACCAGGAAGTGGCGACTCAGAATGATAATGTATAAGTGTCCAAATATCATCGAGCTGCTCACCATACAGTACCTTTTTGATGAAAAATGTCAGCTCAACAGAAGCTTGGTGGACACAGAAGCCTTTTACAGTGCGTTGGTTGGTGTTTTCTTTGCTCAAATATTTGAAGCACTCAGTCCTGATTTCACTGACAAAGCAAATTATACTTGAAGGGTCAACACAGTTTGAGCCTTCAAGTGGAGCGGTGCGTCTGTGGAATCCAGATAAGAGTTTGAAGTAGTGCTGATTTTGTAAGTATTGACCTGGAGAAAATGCTTGTTGACACCGCACTGAGCATCTGTTCCTATCTCCTTCCTCCCTCCTCTTCTTATCTGTCCATCTCGACTCACCTCCTCCTGTGCAGGTCCACCTGTTGAAGGACCAGCTGACTGCGGAGGCCACGGCGCGGCTGGAGGCCCAGGCCCGAGTCCACCAGCTGCTGCTGCAGAACAAAGACCTGCTGCAGCACATCTCCCTACTGGTGAAACAGATTCAGGAGCTGGAGCTCAAGATGTCTGGACCAAACTCCAGTAAGAGACTTATACGCACATACAGTACATACTGCATGCTGGAGTTTATATCAACGAGTGCACGCTTGCTGCAACATCTCATCCCTTCCATCTCTTTTAGCTATTCTGATCTCATTTTGATCCAGTATAGTAAAGAGACAGGTGAGCAGGAAGATATCCATTGAAAACATGAATACAATATATATGATATTACGGCCATTATATGCAAATTATATGTAAAAATGCAATCGTAATTGATTCTTTGTTAAATCTTATTTACTAGAATAACTTAGATAGCACACACCTCTTCCAATACAGCGCTGTCCTCTCAATGAGTTATTTAAACAGTAGAAATGTATTCTTCATATAATTCATATGATATCGACAAGATATAAGTAAATACTTGAGAAAGTAACAAAACATTATTTGAAAGATTATTTCTTTCTCGGAATGTTTAAAAGTCATTTAACAAACTCCTGGAAGTGCAACTGAAATAAACCGATTGGTCGAATTCACCACGAATGGATTACAGACGCAGATGGCCCCATGAATTGCTATCTGCCCCGTCTCAAGGTCCATTTCACCAAAGACACGGCACTAATGATAATACAGCAGGGTCCGCACAGTGCTGGTTCCGGTTCCCGGGCCTCCCTTCCTTCCTGCGAGAGGCAATCTGCTATCGTATCGGCCAACATTTCAGAAAGTCAGTGGGGAAAATATTGTCTATTTGCCACCTCTGCACCTTGGACATTTTTTTGAAAAGACCTCATTTCGCACAAGGTTAGGAAAACTGTGATATGGACGCAAAATATACGATGAAATCTCAAAATATTCATCATGAAATGCATCCAACATTTTCGATGCAATAGAACTTTCTCACGACGTCAAGCACAGAAATGCATCAATTACGGGTGCATTTCAGCTGTAGTGTGTCAGTTTAAGAGTTGGCTCAGCATTGTTATTGACCTACCTTCAATGGAATGGAGTGTTTTTACAGCATACATCTGATAAGCCATGAAACACATGAATCTGTTACTCGAGCATGACTTCCTGGATCATATTTGATTTTCTCACCGGTACCTTAAACAACACGCCCCCAAACAAGCTCTGCCCCCTGAGTTGTTATAACACAGGGCTGCTTTCGGTTGAATCCCCACCTGTTTGTAATGCATCTTTTAATTTGCTTTTCTCGCTCACTCACCGTTCGACCTGAACATTGCCTTTCACGCTCCATGTGTGTCTGATAAAACAGAGCCGCAGACTTTAGATTTCCGTCTTACAACAGAGAGGAAACAGATTATACCTAAGGGGCGGTTCCAGAAGTTTCTGTGGATATTTTTATAGCTGCTGTTGCTGCTTTTTGAGATCACTGCTATGAATCCAAACTGACATGAAGGAGCCAACTACACACGTCTTTTAATCTTTAATGCTTATTAAGGGTTAGTATTAAAAGTATTCCTTTAATGTGTCCTCTCAGTTTTTGAGCTGCAGGTCTGTTCTCCGTTTCCATAAAGAAGGAAACAAAGCGTGTTTCAGTGAGCAGCCCTGACGATGATGAAATGCTTTGAAACATGTTTTCTTTTTTTCTTGCTTACCCAATACAAAACTGATTCATTGGTAACTGAGTGATTGATTTTGTTAGAGTTTTTAGGGGCCGGTTTCCACCACAATTCGCAGATATCTGTATCACATTATTCTTCTGCCATGATCCAGCAGGAGGGGTGACGGCAGATGAATTTAAATCGAGGCAAAGTGGAACTTTTGAATGTTGTATGAAATATGACGTGTCCTTTATTCCTTGGCTCTCCCTCCCTTTGCTCATTCATCACTTTTCGATCTCATCTCCTCTCTGCAGTGGGATCTCAGGACAGTCTGTTGGAGATCACCTTCCGGTCTACGGTACCTCCAGTGATCTGCGACCCCACAACACCCAAACCTGATGTGTCCGCCCTCAACCTGCCCGCGCTGGGCTCCACCGACGGGACCGGCAACGCCTTCTCGTCTTCCAATGGGACTCTGGGAAGCCCCCTAGGTAGGGACAAGTGTCTTCTCAAACTGGAGCGTTTCCGTTTCCTCCCGGGGCCTCCGCCTCCTCAACTCCCCTCGCCTCCCCCGCTGCACAAGGCCGACAGGCCCGAGAGCGAAGGCCAAGAGGTGTCTGAGGTGAAGTTGTTGTCCCACGACCTCAAATCTCTGGGCTGCCTGGACTTTGCCGAGAGGTTTCGCGAGTCGGGCATCGCCTCGGAGTACGAGTCGAACACGGACGACAGCGATGACAATGAGGATGATGGGGAGGACGATGAGGAGGAGGGGATGGAGATCTTTGGCTGGGGGAGGGACGAGGAGACGCTGAGGCTGCTTAATGTTCTCAACAGACAGGGAGCTCCTGACTGTCTGGGAGATGAAATAGCGGTATAGCGCACTAACCTGCTCCCCGGAAGAATCAACAGCCTTTTCCTGTTTCTGTCCATTCACACAAACTACCCTGTAGGAATAACCATGTAGCGACCTAACCTCTGTCAGACAGTTATATATACAAGGCTTACGCCAACATATTGGTGTAATATAGTTGCGATTGCATATAAGAGAAAGGAAAGACTCAAAATAGATGAATAGATGAAAGCATATGTAGGCGGAAACTCGAGTAGCCCTGATCTGGTCAAACTGAATGTGGTCGGCTAACGTAGAGATCCTGAACACAGGATCCACTCGTGCGTCTTTAGGGTTACATGTTGTGCTCGGCAGAGGGAAGAGAATCTTAGCTACTTGGTTTACTTTGATAGAAGTGGGTTGGCTGCAGATTTACTCCCTTGCTCACTGACTGGGGTGCTATGCGTTCAGTGCTGCCACTAGTAGCCAAACGCTATTAGCGACATTTATTTATTTGTTCACTTATTACACTGGATAAGTTGCTATAAGAACACTGCCCTCCCCCCCTTTGTGTCTGTTTTAACATGCTTCACATACAAAATACATATATTTTATTTATCAAATTATTTATTTACCACGTGAATGTACACGAGGCAGTAGCAACAACTGGGGTCCCTGGTGAGGCTTAAAATCAGTACGAGCTGACTCAGGGTCAGTGCGTGTCATCAGTTATGCCTGTAACTGTCACAGTTACTCTCTGTTTGCTGCCATCAAATACATAGCTTATATTTGCAGTAAGATGATAATTTCTTCAAAAATTCAGTCGGAACACACTTGAGGAATATCAGCATCACCTTAAGTGTCCCCTACCGGTCACACCTGTGATACACGTCTCAAGAGACGACTGTGTGAATCGAATCGCTAATCTGTGCATGCACACCTATTCTTTACAATCTTGTTTCCTTTCGCCTTCTCTCTTTATTACGCACACATACCTGAAATCCGTACATCACACACACACACACACGCTCCCAAAGTCTCCTCCCAGCTCTCTGCTGCTGAATTTGCAGTTTGAGCAGTTCTGTAACAAAATCAGGGAGTTTATCTTCAGAGTCTTTCCTCCTTTCATTCAACGGATTGAATTTGTGAGTTAGCCTGTCTTTATCGTGGAATTGAACCAAAAGTTGGAGGTCAGTTCAGGGGCAAGCTCTCACTTTGTCAGGATCGGGAGCGTAGCTGTCGGCCGTGCCGGCAGGAACAAGACGACTGGGTTTGGGGACCGGACAGACTGATGAGCTCCTGTCCTTGCTGGAGAGAAACTCTTCTGATGAACACTTCAGCCGAATCCAGGAAAGAACTTTATGACTGTCTCTATGTTTGGAGAGGGGGAAGTCCTTTTCTTGAGCTCATAATAATAATTATTATTCAAAGACTATTTTTAGACAGAACATCTGTATCTGTACTGTATGTACAAACTTTGTTTTCTATGCCATCCCACAGAAGTGTTGAACTGCTCCGTCCTTGACTCCTGCAGGCTGCCCTCTTTTGGTCTCCTCACAGTTTGTTGACTTGGTAGTCAGAGCATGTTTGCACTCTCTTCACTTGTCTCCCCCCCCCCCTCCCGCTTTTAATTTATGTAAAGCCAGGATTAGTCGGACCTCGAGGAATGCCGTTTGTTTCTTTTATTCCTCCCGTAAACAAAAACTCTTCCCCTCGTGCCAGAACAGCGGCTCACGGATGACAGCCAAAAGTGGTCTCATTTGTTCAAACCCAGCTCTGTGTATGGGCCTCCAAGCACAACGCAGTATTAAAGTGTTCATTTTGTTTCACGAGGAAAAGCCACAGAGTTTTCTTTCTGCGTACTGTAGCCCCAGATTATCACAGCACTCCTGTCGAACCAGTGCAGGGTTAGCACCGGCCAGTATTTGGCAAAGGTAGATGCTGCAGAGATCTAAAGGGGAATCAGGCCAGTTCCCAGTGGGCTCACTATCTTTTGCAAAGAGCTTTAGGCTGATGGGATCAATCCAATTGTGTAAGCGTCCAGTAAACTGACTCCCAGTTAAGTCGCTCGCTTTCCGAACACGTTTGTGTTCAAGGATAACAGAGATTCAATCAGAGATGTTACTTCTCTGAAAGTTTGTTTTGGAAATTAGTTTCAACTTTACTTAATCGGTCTCTGTCGAGCGTGGTGGAGTCAGTGGTTCTATCAAGACTACACAAACGCACAATGATGCTCCATGAATAAACCAGCAGCCACCGTCAAAAGCAGTGGAAATGCCTCCAAAAACCTACATAAATAGCTTAAATATGCGTATGTCCGTTGTTCATATGGCCTTCATTACAGGGAATGAGCGGAGAGACGGATGGAGGTTGACAACCAACAAAGGTCCCCGGCCCAACTCAAACTGTGGATGTTGTGGTTCATCGTTGACGCCTTACACTCCACTAGGGTGCCCCGTCATTACGTTTTTCACTTGGGGTGTTTTCTTTTCCTTTATATTGAATAATCTGCCAGAAATCATCTCAAACACACTCAAAAACTCCCCCAACCCATATTTACAACCGCTACACTCTTAGCTTTCTCTCTTTCTGTCACCACCCGTCAGAGTTCGTCAGTTCCTCTGATGTTTGACCCGGACGACAGGAAATGCAGTATGAAGGATGTTCTCTTTCTTTGACACCCTCTTCTCTTGTCTCATCATCTACCTTTTTCCTTCTCTTGTTTTGTTCTCTATTCTGTCTTTTTATAATATGACTTTACCACGTACAACTCTGACGCTCCACCTTCTCCGTTTGAAGGGACAGGTGTGTCAGACGGCACACCATCAGAGCAAAAATAAATAAACAAATGAGCTCACTGCTGAAATTATATTAATAAACAGATATTTCATCTCCAACCAGCAACATAATTCTAAAAATACCATTTAAATCACATTTCAGCAACCGGTGCAATCAATTTGAACTGTAATGAAACCGCCCTTGAAATTGACCGAAAATATATTGAGACCTATTGCTATGAATCACCAGTTAAAGACATCTTCACACAATGATTTCAAAAAGGTGACCCCCATCTCATGATTCAATAGTCGCATTTAATCAAAGAACGCATTAAATTATCAGGTAAGAAATGACTTTACTACCAGGCCCAATCACATTTTTGACTTATGCAGCAAGAAGTTGCCTGGAAGCCTGGAGACAAGGGCGTGTCTGGAGAACGGGCATTATGAAAGTGATTAAGGTGCTATCAGTACGTTTTTCTATTTGTAATTACTTAAGGCCTCCATCTTGTGCCCTCGTCCCGCAAATATGACACACAGAACACACAGAACCAAACACAAAGTAAACACAGAACAAATATGTCAATAAGGTGTTTGATGCATTTTTAGCTACCTGACAAATTTGATTTTGTTCAAACTTGAATGCTTAAGACTGAACCTAAAAGTATTTCCGCACTAAGTCACCAATAATTTCCGTTATTCATGCAGAACCACGCAGTAATTATACAAGCGATAATACCTGAAAGTACTTTTTTGAGTTACTTGCCAGCCTTTTAGATTGATGTTTTTGTTCATACTTCTTCTAGCACAACCTTTGAGTTTGTTGTTGGACAAGTTTTTAACCAATTAAAACCAAATTCATTTACGAGTAATGAGATTGGGGGCAAAGTAATGACATTATGGCAATAGCATAATTCGTCAATTTACGTTTATTTAGTTTTATTTCCTGAGTCATCACCCATCCTCATAGCACCCTAAAAAACAATTATAACATTTAAAACCCTGCCTTAAATGTGTTGCCAAATTGGTGAAACTCACATCCCAACATCCCAAGTTTACTATTTTTTTTTTCTTGGACTTGTTGTCCGTTGGTCTAATGTTACATTTTTGTCCACAATTTGTGTGCATTTTGCATCGAACATTGGGTTCGAACCAGTGGTGCAACTGCGTTTAGTCCGAACCCTGAAGTGGTCCTTGAAAATGTGAAGACTTGACTGTATTTTCCTAATATTTCAGTTCCTGTTTTGGACATGATCATAAGTACAGAAATAAATCAAAGAGTACAAACTCTGTTTTCTGTTTCTTCCTCCTACCCTCGTGGTATTTCCGTTAACACTGCCTTAGCATTTCTTAATGCCTAGTGCTAACTTAATGCCTGCTCTTGACACGTGTCTCTATTCTAGCCTTTGGTGTGAATGCTCCCTTTCATATCATCTATATTTCTCTCACATGTGTTTGACCTCATTCTCCTGTCCTCTCTAGAGCCCTGCTCTTCCTCAGACCTCTCCAAAATGCCAGCCGTACTGTAAACGGTCTCTTGTTGCTGATTCATCCATTAGCGGTTTCATGCTGTGTGGTTGCAAAAAAAAAATAACTCCAACCCTGTGCCTTTTATCTTGATGGAGATGCTGGAGGTCTGTAACGGCTGTGTGAAGACCCCGTGTTCGGGGGTTTGTAGCGAGATCACTCGTGGAAGCAGAGGGGGAGATTGGTTTCTTTTGAAAGTTATTTGTGTAGCAGGTTCAGTAAAGTTTGAAAGTTTGAACTCATTCCTGCATCTTTAACTAGTTATTGATTCAGCCTCTAATGAATGTATAGGATACAGTTGAATTGTACCAAGTGTGTATTTGTGGTTGTGCATATGTGAGAGTGAGGTCAGTTGTGATCATCTACCTTACTTCAGAGTCACCATAATGGGCTTCGAGCACCAATAACAGACCCTCTGGCTTCAGGGTAGCAGCGAGCAAGATGGCCTCTGTAGCTTCGACAACACGTTCCTGTAGTTTTCTGTTAACACTGCAAGAAGGATACGTGTCTATTTCTACTGGATAGGACGACTTTGAAGACGTGTCTGATGTAAATCCTACACTGTTTCATTGTTAGTTTTGAGCGTTATTGAACTCAACATCATGGAACAAGAAAAGATGACTCTTAATTAAAAAGTGAGATTAGCGGCGGGACCACTTGGGAATCACTACGTCACTCACAGTACAAACATTACATCGTCTTTGCTCTTCAAAAGCTCTTTTTAAACAATTCAATTTCACTCTCTATTCTTTAAACCGCTGAATTGCCAGTCCAGTCTGATCTCAGTCTTTATCTGTGTCTCACTTTGTCTCTGTCACACACTGCGGTCTCCTCCCCCTCTCAGCATTAATTAATTGTCTGATGGGGCTTGTCGTCAACCGGACCCTCCAAGCAGAGCAGGCTTTGGTGACTCGCATCGATTTCCCCGTCACGGGCATGTGTTGTTGAAACTGGGCTTAACAACTGCGACAGCTTGGGAGCGTCGCAAATCAATACACTTCTTTACAAGCTCAGTCTGTCACCTGCAGGGACATGCTTGCAGCCATTGTCTGACATACCTACACATACTTATTATGTTATGACGGGTTTCAGTCTTGAAGGAGTTTGGGTGAACAGATTGGGACTTGGTGCCTTTTTCAAAAACATCCCCCCCTGTTTTAAGGCCTATGCAGCAGGTCAATGATCCTAAACACACAAACACGGGAACCAAGAAGTTTTTAAGGGCCGAACCCTTAACTTCTTCACTGATCGGGTCACATGACCTCAATCCAACTGATGTTGTGTTTCACTGCTGAAGACCAAAGGCAAAAAAAAGCTTCCATCGTGTACAAGTCAAAACTTTAGTTAGTCACATATTAATACATAATACATTTTCTGGAAAATCAACAGATAAATTGTTAATACATGCAATAACCATACATCCAAAAATCCAATATTGCTGTAAAACAGTCCTGCTAATTGATTTCCAACATTCCCACAGAGGGATGAGAGTTAGCACCTCCAAATCTGAGGCCATGGTTCTCTGCCGGAAACCGGTGGATTGCTCCCTCCAGGTGGGGACGGAGTGCCTACCTCAAGCGAAGGAGTTCAAGTATCTCGGGGTCTTGTTCACGAGTGAGGGTAAGATGGAGCGGGAGATCGACAGACGGATCGGTGCAGCTGCAGCAGTAAAGCAGGCGCTGCACCGGACCGTCTTGGTGAAGAGGGAGCTGAGCCGGAAGGCAAAGCTCTCAATTTACCACTCGGTCTACGTTCCTACCCTCACCTATGGTCACGAACTCTGGGTCGTGACCGAAAGGACAAGGTCGCGGTTACAAGCGGCCGAAATGAGCTTCCCCCGTAGGGTGGCCGGGCTCAGCCTTAGAGATAGGGTAAGGAGCTCGGTCATCAGGAGGGAGCCGCTACTCCTTCGCGTCGAAAGGAGTCAGCTGAGGTGGTTCGGGCATCTAATTAGGATGCCTCCTGGACGCCTCCCATTGGAGGTTTTCCAGGCACGTCCAACTGGGAAGAGACCCCGGGGAAGACCCAGAACACGCTGGAGAGATTACATCTCCCAGCTGGCCTGGGAACGCCTCGGGATCCCCCAGAATGAGCTGGAACATGTTGCCGGTGAGAGGGAGGTCTGGGTCGGCCTGCTTGACCTGCTGCCACCGCGACCCGACCCCGGATAAGTGGTGGAAAATGGATGGATGGATGGATGGCATTCCCACAGAGATTTTAAAGGGTTAGCTACCACGATATAACCGGTATGGTGAAATCTCTGACAGTTGTTTCGTCTCACGGTACATACAGTATATGAAACCTCATACTTATCTTTTAATTTCAGATACAAAGGGCTGAAGTAAGTAAGTACGTAAAGCCTTATTGATATAAAAAAAAAAAAAATGTAAACACACAGTTACAAAATGCTTCACTCACACAAAAAAGTAATGAATACAGTAAAAATATATTGCAATATAAAACAG